GTGCTGGAAGAATTTGACCTCGGAACGTTTGCCCAGCGTACTTTGATATCCCTAGTGTCTGGTTAAATGCAGTTGGTTGTGTTTCTTATCAGTATGAAAAAGTTATTTCTTCTTTTAATACCAACAGAATAGTAAACGTTGGTGTCTATATGAATTTTAAGATGTTTGCCCAGTTTCTTGCAACTGAAGCTTAACAAAAGTTTTTGTTTTGCATTCCTTATCTCTGTAGTAGGGGGTCTCTTTTCATGCCTTGAGAATCACCACGTCTACTTTGTTCATGGCCAAATGTTTTTATTTGGCCATGAACAATCAGACCAGTCCTCCAAATGTTTGAATCTCATCTGCCAGGGTTCTAGTTGGCCAATACGAATCTGAGATTTAAGCCTCTCTCCTTCAGAAATTTGTATCTTATCAGGAGAGACAAGATAAAATTTGAAAACTGATAACTTTTTCTAAGTAATACACATAAGTTTGATATACTGATGGAAAAAGAAACAACATTTTCTGGAATGAGAATACTATAGTTATAGCTCATGTATTTACACAAAAAGTTGTCAGGTTGTTTTCAGCCCTCGGACCAGCAATACAGCTTGTGCGGTGAGGCATTGCAACTTGCCAATCACACAAAAGCTCGTTCAATGAAATTTTACCCAATGAAGTCAAGGTGGAACAATGCCTGATCAGGGCATCTTTAAAAAGGCCTTAATTCAAAGTTCAAATCACTGAAAGAAAAGGGCCACATTTAGTCAGTTTTCTGTGCATTACATAGTGCCTAGAATGTCACCAGTACCAAGGAAGAGGGCCATTAGCATGCTTCAGGCAGGCATGTCATGTGCCAGTTTTCCCAGACACTGGAGTAAGCCGCTTCACTGCGTCCCGTCTGCAGAGAAGGTTTCAGCAGACTGGCAGGACAGATGCAGTCTAGGTGGATGCTGCACATTACTGTGGTGGTGGAGGGGAGTCCCCATTACCTGTAAAGCGTGTTGAGTGGAGTGTCCAGAAAAGCGCTATATGAGTGTAAGCAATTATTAATTACTAATATTATTAAGATCCTGTCGCCGTCGAGTGACCACACCAGAGCAGGACAGACACATCAGACTGGTCCATCTGAGGGATCGTTTCAGATCTGCCACCCGTACTGCTGCTGAAACTGCCGGCAGACACAATTCCTGTATCGGTGACAGGACAGTGAGGTTCCATGCTGAAGGCCTTAAAGCAAGGCAACCTGTCAGAGGCCCTTTGCTCACACCTCCTAGACATCACACCTGACTACCTTGGGCCAGACAAGGGCTGCAATGGACTTGTCTTATACCAAACATCCATAGCCCATTTCTTCTTGAATGCTTATGGTCCTGAATTTTAATTTTAATGGACTATTTTGACTTTATCTTTTTTTCTAAGGGAATGGAGTATGTGATGTGGCAACTCATCCAGTGCTTCATCCATTCTTGGCAAAGGGAGGGTGTTATACCGCATTTAGCCACTAGAGGGATGACTCGATTTTCCAGCCTTGTGTCCTAATTCAATTTAGTTGAATCAGAATAATAACAATCTATTCATTAAATTCTAAATCCTTACAGTAACATTTCTTGTAATCAGAATTCTGACTGTGTCATCTGTTTCTATTATAAATAAATGTATAATTCAAGATCAAACATTTGATATCTATTGACATTTTCTTTGATATCCCTTTTGTCTCGAGGTTTAATGCAGTTTGTTGTTTCTTTTCAGATATAAAAATGTTATTTCTTCTTTTAATACCAGAAGAATGGTAAAGGTTGGTGTTTATATGAATTATTTTAAGGTATGTTTGCCCAGTTTCTTAAAACTGAAGTTAAACAAAGGTATTTGTCTTGCATTCCTTATCTCTGGATCTCTGGGGTAGGGGGGTCTCTTTTCATGATATGAGAATCACTAATCCTACTTTGTTCATTGCCAAAAGGTTTTATTTCTGTGTCTGTGACACTCTTATCTCTCAATGAGAGAGAGGTTCACAGTTCTTTTGGCCTTTGAGGAACTACAGGGGATAAGAAATGCCCCATTATTCAAAGATGCAGGTATTCAGACTTACTTATTAGCAAGAAATGAGCACACACACCCCAGTGACAGATAGTATGGCTTACATGATCATAGAATAAGTAAACACATTTGTGTTGTTGTATATGAGGACTCAGAGATAAGTGCTGCTTGAACCAGATTCTCCACACTCTGCTCTCTTAAGTGGAATAAGAGCTCACCTGATGTCTCATCTTCTGCCCTTTATAAAACAGGTGTGTGTCTAGTCTTGCTTTCCTGGGAGTGCTAATGCTAAACTGCTCATCTTGTGCTCATCTTGCTTTATCACAACACCCAGCACCAAGCCTGTGTTTCTAGCACTGACTGGCTACAAGTGCTGCTGAACTCAGGAAGACAATTTGCATAGAAGAGACATTTTGCATTGGCAGCACATGCTTCATTGCTTTAGGAGTGTTTATAGCCCTGTTAGTTTAACACTTCATGACTTCAATCGAACCCACAGCAACAATGCCTTTTATCACTGTCTTCATCTGGGCACTCTTCATCACTGTTCATGGTAGGATTGGGTATGGATATTTTAAAGATTTTACAATATATTTATTTCATGTGGAAAACTAAGGAGTTAAGTTAATTTAGTTGAAATTACAAAATAAAAAATTGTGAATGTCTTATGAATATATTGTTTCTTTTATGTCTATCATTTTGTTTTATTGATTTACAGAATGGAATGGACAGATATCTGTGACTCAGCCTCCAGTAATATCTACTGCTCCAGGACAGACAGTTACTGTGAGCTGTAGGACCAGTCCTGCGGTGTACAACAATAATAACCTAAACTGGTACCAACAGAAAGCTGGAGAAGCTCCTAAACTTCTAATCTATGGAGCAACTAACCGTCAGACTGGGATCCCAGAGCGTTTCAGTGGCGGTGGATCTGGGACTGACTTCACTCTGACCATCACAGGAGTCCAGGCTGAAGATGCAGCAGATTATTACTGTCAGAGTCGTCACAACATCAACAGTAATTGGCCATTCACACAGTGTTACACACCCATACAAAAACCTCCCTCAGCAAGACTGCACAGTGACTGCACTGCTGCAGCTGGGGCCTACTGCAGGTGCTAAAGGCAAAGACACAGGACATAGCCTGTGGAGCAGATCAACTGCACACAAACATTGATATTAGTTCAATAAATATGCCAAAATACATTCAGCGTGTCACTGTACTGACAAAGGGAGGTAATATTTTGGACCACTGCTACACAACAGTAAAAGGAGCATACAAAGCGCTTCCCAAACCGAGTTTCGGCAAGTCAGACCACATCACTCTCCTGTTGCTTCCGGACTACAAACAGAAGCTGAAGACCTCCCCAATTGCGAACAGGTCAGTGCACTGTTGGTCTGAGGAGGCAGAAAGCAGGTTAATAGACTGCTTTGATAGTACAGACTGGGACGCATTCAGAGCTCCCGACACAGATTTAAATGAATATTTGAACGCGGTCACCAGCTTTATTAAATATTGCACCGATATTTGTTTACCAGAAAAAGAAAATTAGGACATTTCCCAATCAGAAACCGTGGTTCAACAGCGACATTCGCAATAAAATAAAAGATAGATCCACTGCATTCAAAACGGGGGACAAAGAGCTGTACAGGTAATCATGGTATGCATTAGAGGAAGCCATAAAACGCTCTAAACGGAGCTACAGAGTGTGGCTTGAAACACAATGTGCTGACACCTGGAGGCTGTGGCAGGGAATACAGTCAATCACAGGCTACAAGGGCTGCAGCCAGGAGATTGCCAGTAGTAGGGTGAAAATCTGGCTGCAGGGCCTGATGGGATACCACCCTGTGTCCTTAGGACATGTGCAGCCCAAATGACCACAGTGTTTATGGACATCTTTAACTCCTTCCTGTCACGATCCATTGTCCCCACCTGCTTCAAAAAAAACATTATTTTTCCACTCCCCATAAATGCAACAATGACGTGCCTGAACAATTACTGCCCAGTAGCATTAACATCTGTGGTGATGAAATGCCTGGAGATTCTGGTATTGTCACACATTAGCTCCTCCATCACAGAGTCCCTGGACCCCTTGCAGTTCGCCTACCAGAACAACAGACCAGTGGATGATGCTGTCTCCCGAGCTCTACATACAGCCTTGGTACAACTGGACACTAAGAACTCTTATGTGAGAATGCTGTTTGTGGACTACAATTCAGCATTCAATTCCATCATACCCAACCAACTGGTGACAAAGCTCAGGGGACTAGGACTCTGTCCGCAACTGGCTGCTGGACTTCCTAATCGAGATACCACAAGTGGTGCAGAGAGGTAATAAAACATCAACACCACTAACCCTGAGCACTGGAACTTCACAAGGCTGCTGTTTGAGTCCAAGGTTGTACTCTCTATTCACTCACGACTGCACAGCAAGACACAGCAACAACTGCATCATTACATTTGCAGATGACACCACTATAATAGGCCTGATCAGCAATGATGATGAGTCCACTTACAGGTATGAAGTCATAAAGCTGCTAAGGTGGTGTCATAGCAATAACCTGGACCTGAACGTGAATAAAACAAAAGAGCTAATAGTGGACTTTCCGAGACACAGGCCGCACACTCACAGCCCACTCAGTATTGATGGAACTAAAGTGGCAACAGTCACCAGCTTCATTTCTGATGATCTAACCTGGACTGTGAACACTGACTCTATCTTGAAGAAGTCTCTGTCACGCCCTCTGCAGCCAGAGGGCGCTCCTTCTCTGTCCTGTCCCTAGTTTCCGGTCTGCTGTCCTTCCTGTCCCTCTCTTTCCCTTGGGCTATATATTTCCGGGTCTTGCACTCTGTCCTCGCTCAGCATTGAGGTTCGGATGTCCTGAGACCCGCCTAGCACCAGGGCGCCCCACGTCCGCTCCCTGAGGGCATAGGTTTCTATACGGCATTCCTGAACTCTTTGCACTAATGAGCCCGGGCCTTTTTCCCGTCTCGCCGCTACGCATATGGGTCTTTTTCCGCTCTCCTGCTCCCCACGGTTTGTCCCTTTGGACGTCCGTGACAGTCTCAGCAGCGCTTCTATTTCCTGAGGTGCCTCAAGTGATAGGGGATGCCAGTACCTGTGTTGGTGAACTTCTACCGCTGCACCATCGAGAGAGTCCTCACCAACAGGATCACTGTGTGGTACGGCATCACCTCCTCTAGAGAGAAAGCCACTACAGAGAGTGGTGAATGTGGCCCAGAAGATTATCGGCTGTGGTCTCACAGCGATAAAAGAGCTCTATGAGGACCACTGCCATGGTAGAATTCTGTCCATCACAGAGGACAGTCACCACCCCGGACATGAGCTCTTCCCCCACTGTCCTCAGGCAAGAGATACAAGAGCATACGGACAATTACCACCAGATTCCTCAATAGCTTCTACTCACAAGCAGTGCGATTGGCGAACACATCTGGCCATTCCCATCGGGCCACACCTACACCATCTACATCATTATAATTTCTTATTTATTGCACATCTGCAGTCATTGTTTACATGTCTGCAGTATTTACATTCAAATTGTTTACTTGTTTACTTGTACATTGTCTACTGTCTGTATATTTTCCTGATGCACTATCTGAACTTTTTTTACATTTTTTTTTAGTCAAGAGACTTTGTATGAATTCCATTGTACCAGTACATGTACCGGCTACATATGGCAATAAAGTTCAAGTTCATTATGAAGCTAAGAAGAGCTCCATACTCATCAGTCAATCTGAAAGTAGTTTGTGTTATTATACTTTTTAACCTACAAACAAATATTATTATTTCTTAGGCTAAAGCATTGTGCCTCACAGTGCTTGGGACCTGGGTTCAATTTCTTGGGTGCTATCTATGTGGAGTTTGCACGTTCTCCCAGTATTTGCATGGCTTTCTTATGGGTGCTCCAGTTTCCTCCCAAATTAATACTTTTTTGTTGGTAAAACTGGCCCTGCTGTGAGTGTGTGAGTGTGTGTGCACTGCAATGGACTAGTGTCCTGTCCAGGGTGTATCCTGTTATGAGCCCCTTGTGACCCCGTGCTGAATAAAACAGCAAGAAAATACACAGATGGATGATAAAACATTTAGGTGGATTGATGGACTGATAGACTTTTTAGTCTACGTAAATATTTCTCAAGAGCAGGAAAGCAAAACATTTTAAATTTCAGAAATGTCAAATGTGATAAGTATCTCTTTCTTCACTTTTGCACCTAAAATGATTCAAAAGATAAGTTTTGTATTCACATGATTGTCTAAAATGATCTAATATAATAAGAAAATAAATTTCTAAGTGCAACTGCAGTAGGTCCAAGCTTCAGCACTACAGTCGCTGTGCAGTCCTGATGAGGGAGGTTTTTGTATCACTGTGTGAACACATGGGTATTGCTGAGGTAGTGTTGACTCAGGCAGTAATAATCTGCTGCATCTTCAGCCTGGACTCCTGTGATGGTCAGACTGTCACTCCCAGATCCACTGCCACCGAAACGCTCTGGGATCCCAATCTGACGGTTAGTTACAAGATAGATCAGGAGTTTAGGAGCTTCTCCAGCTTTCTGTTGAAACCAGGCGAGTCTGTGCTTAGAGTCATATATGTGCAGTGCAGGACTGGTTTTAAAGCTCACAGTGACTGTCCAGGTAGAACAGATTTCAATGCTGGAGTCTGAGTCATAGTAACCTGTCCACTGGAATCTGAAAATATGACAAAATACAGTAAATACAGGTAATTGATAATTAGAATGTTTGAAGATTTTTAGTAATTTCACACCTTACTGTACACCTGGTTCACCTTATTTGCAAGAATCTAAATTGTTAAAAAATAAGTATTAAATCCTACCCTGAACAGTGATGAGGAATGTCCAGATTAAGATGATGATGAAAGTCATTGTTGCTGTGGGTTCTTTTCCCATGAAGGGGAGCTCTCAGTCATGAAGTGTTAAACTCAAAGGGCTATAAACATTTCCAGAGCACTGAAGCATGTGCTGCCAATGCAGTGTCTCTTCTATGCAAATTGTCTTCCTGGCTTCAGCAGCACTTGTAGCCAGTCAGTGCTGGAAACACAGGCTTGGTGCACTGTGTTTTGACAGAGCAAGATGAGCAGTTTAGCATGAACACTCATAGAACAGCAGGACTAGACAGAGAGCAGCTTTATAAGGAGCAGAGGATGAGACACAATCAGTAGAGCCCTTACTCCACTAGACACAGCATGAATGGAAAAGACTGTGCTGTGGAGAGTCTGGTTAAAGCAGCACTTGGCTCTATATTTTCAGATACATTACTGGTTGAGGTGATATCATGTTTAATAGAGACTGAAGCATTCAGATACAAAGTTATATGTCATAATCCACAATCAGCTATCACTTAAAAGCACATTTAAATACAGACTTATTTTTTCTTGTTTGTTAATCCTGTGTTACATCTAAAACATGTATTGTGTACTTTTGGGAACTCAACGAGCAAGCTCAGCTACTCAATGTGAACTCCCTATGCTTGCTTAATTACAGCAGTTCCACAGTTTATATCTCAGACAGAGGTTTGATCTGTCTCCCCTTGGCTGGCTAAGGGCTGGATTCTCTAACAGGTGAAATTGTATCATTGATCTTTAGTATGTTTAAGACAGAAGCTCAGATTTCTTCAGATGAGAGAGATTCATCAGTGTAGCCTGGCTAATTCACCTAGCTGAAAGAACATCTTGCCTCTGTCAGCCCTTCAATGAGTGATGGTCTACCTGCAACCCCTAGTGGTTTAACCACTGTAACCATAGCCTCTCCACAGTTTTCTATTGCCATCTAGGGACTGTATGTCAGAAAAAATCATTCCTCTTACAGTTAAATAGTTATTGGAGCTAATTGACCAGCTTTGAAAGTAGTGGGCACCATCATTAGCATTGTCAGCTCTAAGCTCTAAGATCATACACATGATGATATCTGGGTTTATATTAGAAATGTTTAGACACACTCTGCTCTCTTATAATCTCATTATGTCAAGGGCTCTGACTACGCTCAGTGTAC